AGTAAAGTTTGGATATAATGACTCCGTTTAAAAGGACATATCGTTTATTGTGACTGATTCTCAAAAAATCATATCCGGCTATAGTGACCCAAATGATTAATAATAACATTTTCGCTCNATATAATTTGAAAATTCTAAACAATGAAATATCTGTATCTTATTTGACTCGAGAGTTTCCAATTCGATTTGTAACAATAAAATGAATTTCTGTTGCATTTTTTTTTTCGTGCCAGTTAAATTTTCATTTGTTATTTTTTTACACTACTTATATCATTTTAAAACCAAATTACGATTACGTAACAAAACCAGGTATTTCCACCTGTACATATGTGTGCGGTAAGTTATTTTTGATTCTACACTAAACCTTTAAAGCTTTTTAACCACAATTAATTCAGATTTTATGACTCACAATCCTCTTGAAATTACTGCCAGATATAACAACAATAGCAACAATACAAACACGTATAGTAGATATGCTATAAATATAGTAGTAACACTTGTTTATCAATATACATATAGAATGTACTTATTGTAACGTCATTTTTCACCTCTGGAAATTACCCAGTAAACCGTTTACCAATTTCTATTTAATTAGAGGCTCAAAATAGTTTTATTTAAAAGTACCCGAGTACCAAAATCTAGAACTCTACTCAAAATGGAAGGAGTAGTAAGGATATAAAGCAGATGATAGCGCAAAGTGGAGTCACCTTCAAAAAAAAATAAGTCACTTCTATGCTCGCGAACGATTAATTTAGAAATTCGAAAAAGGTTGAAAAAGGTGTATGTTTGAAGCACAGCGCTGTACGGGTGCGAAACATGGACAGTGAGGGCGACGGAAAAAATGGTTAGGAGCGTTCGAAATGTGGTGTTACAGGCGAATGATGAGGATAGAGAAGGTTAGAAATGAAGAGATATTAGAAAGAATAAGAGAACAGAAGACTCTATGGAAGTCAATAAGAAATAGGTGAGATAGGTTGGTAGGACACCTTCTCAGGCATGAATGGCTAGTCAGAGATATATTAGAGGCAGAAACGGGAGTTAGGAGGGGTAAAGGTAGACCTAGATTAGATTACTGTTCGCAAATAGTTAAGGATGTAGGATGTTCTAGTTTTAGGGAAATGCGAAGATTATCTCAGGATAGGAAAGAGTGGAGGTGCGTGTCCAACCAGTACCGAGCGGCATGACTTAGAGGTCTAGAACATTACTTAGCATTCGGGAGGACGCCGGTTCGATTCCGGGTCCGTCTGCCTTGGTTCAAGTTTTCTGTGGTTTCCTTGGATCACTTAGGCAAATGCTGAGGCAGTAATATTCCACAGATAATCTTTCACTCTCTTCTGTCTTCATTTCGTCCGTCTCATCTTTCTCACCCGAACCACCACCCACCCATTCCCACGATTCCTGAAAGCAGGCTGAAGAG